TGGCAGACTCAAGCCGAGGTAGCTATTAAGCTTGACTGCTATACATATACTCCAAAAAATGGGCCATACTGTATGTAGATCGTGGACATTGAAGAAAAGTTCCTCGAGAAATTGTAGTATTTAGACCCTTTGGTCATCATGCCTGCATTCTATGTCTCCCGCCGACTCAGTCGACCTTATGCCTGGATTTCTATGCATAAACACGATTTTTCTGGCCACTATGAAATAGTATCATCAGCTTATACATTGAAGCCCCCCTTCCATTGTCACATATTTTCGTCCTCACAGTACTAGACTAGGTTTGATTTCTACTTGGCATGCCCTCTTGCAAGACGCTCATGAATCTTATGGCCGGCCTTGTGTCTCTTCATTACGCTGTGGCTCTTCATCTCTCCTCAAGCATCTGTGGCTTTCTCTGACCCATTCCATAGCTAGGCTATGCTCTCTATTACTCTCTCCGATGAAACGTTGATCCAATGAAGCTTTGTGGAATTTATTGAGCGTGATTCGAATGCATTCATCATGGTTGGATATCTCGGTGACAAAGTACATCCAAGGATATTCAGAAGCCAGGTGGCGCTTCAAGTGTCCCGTGCATAGCTCGAACTCCTCGACCTTCTTCTTTCGCGTGGTGGATTTGCTTATCTTGCAGTCATTGTGCTTGTTCAACTCTGAAATGGGATGAGTATAAGCAGAAACATGATCATCTTGGCACTGAGATGTTTTTGCTTCACAATGAATGGCTCTGCGAGATGCGATCTTCATCGATCTCAAAATTGTCTATTGGGCGAGCCAAGGCATCAGGCTCCTGTTGTTTCTTCCTATTCCCTTGTCTGGGATCCCAGGTCTCCAGCCCTGTACGCGTAGCTGTTGAACCTAATCTCGATGACGTCTTAACAAACGCCTAAAGATCTTGAGAGATGAGGGCCACATCAACTCGGTTGCGCTCTTCCTCATGAATGGCCTCAAACATCGCTCTATCTTCGTCTTGTTCTGGGTTTGTCCACCACGTGTGGTCAGACCTTGAGCGCAGCTCACGATGAAAGTCGCCAACGAGATAAAGACTGCCTGTAAGAACTATGGGAGGCGTCTTTCCTGCTACGTATCTCGCTGCACAAAGCGCTCGAAGTGCGCCTGTCGTGGGCATGTGTAGTCCAGTAATTTTAGGCTGCACTGACTCTGCAATAGCAAAGAGTTGCTTTGGGTCCATAGACTTCACCCATGGCATGCCATCCACAGGGCCAAAGGATGTCGTAACGACATTATCCCCTGGTCGCAATAAAAGCTTAAGATATTGATGCGCATCCTTTCCTTCAGTCATAGCAAGGACCCATGTAATCGGCCATCCATCTTTTGGTGGACTTTCTCCCAAGATCGTCCTCTGCCGTTCATTCTTGAGGACAAAATCGTTGAGTGCTATTGCAGCATCGGGATTGTGAGCTCCATCCACCATGATCTCCCTCTCTGACTCATCTAATTTGCCGAAGACGGGCGGGACTTTGAGGTGTTGTAGCCTGCCCGGATTCACGTTCTTCCTAAGCTGCACCAACATCTCTCCAATCTCCAGGTTGTCCAGCGTAATACCTAGGCTTGCCACTATTTCTTTCACTGCTACTATAGCCAAGACTACGTTATCTCGCTGGAAAGGCCGTAAGGACTCAGAAAACCGGCGCCAATCCGGACTGGCGTAGAGCGTTTCTATGAGCTCCACGGTGTCTCCAGTGAGACGAGGGCCAGCCCCAATATCTTTGGCATACTGCTCGATAACATTGTTGACGTTCCACTCATTGACTGGATTGACAACGTATGGAACATTTGGCCTCAAGATACCAGCTTTGTGCTGAGCAATCTGCTCAAGCGTGTCCCCCAGAAAGCTTTGGTGATCTCGGGCGATTTTGGAGATGACAGACACGGCCTGATTGTTCAATATATTAGTTGCATCCAGCTTTCCGCCCATGCCGACTTCGACAACACCAACTTGGACCTTCTCCTCGTTGAAGATGTGGAATGCGGTAGCAGTCAAGATCTCGAAAGGCGACGCATTGATACCTTCGCTCTGACTGAGCTGCATATAATGGCTCTCTATCTGACGAAAAAGTGTCTCGTTGACAGGCTTTTCGTTGATGGATATGCAGTCCCATCTGAATTCAGTCAGAACAGGAAGTGCTCCACGTGAATACGTGCGTACCTGTCTACGAGATGCGGAGAGGTGAATTTACCACACTTGACGAGTCTGCGCGTGAGCAGGGACGACGCATAGTGGCAAATGGAACCCTTGCCATTGGTTCCGGCAACGTGTATGGCCTTCCATGGGAACTGGACGTTCTTTAGGAGCTGGCCGACCCGTTCCAAGCCTGGCTGGATCATGGCCCTTGAAGACGATTATGGTAGCATAGGCAACGATGGGTCCAGGCAGACATGCGTCGAAGGTCTGAAACGGCGTACCTGCAGCTGGTTTGACTCATGGCAGCGGTTGGCCGAAAAGCAGCGAGGGCAACCGACCTTTCCCGAAGAGGCAACTGCCGCTTGGCACTGGCAGTCGCGGCTGCCGACCTTAGTCGATTGTTTGGCGTGTGCTGGCTGCAAAGACTGCGTATCAGACAAAAGTGAAGCATGCAATCACTCGCGCCGCATAACAAGAACGTCTTGTGTGCTCTGTGTCTGTGTGTCTATATTATGCTGCGCTGGCCAGCTGTCAGTGCGATCAAGCTGCAGTCTGGCGTTCCGAACGCCTTCCCCGTGAGCCTCAGCCTCACTGTTCTGTTTTAGGGTGGGCCTCTGCCTTAGTTCCTCCTCCGACCACCCCCAGAACCATCACCCCAGGCGCGTCCCCATCAGCACCACATCTCCACTCCATCATTTCCAACGCCTCTCCACTCAGTCCTTCTGCGCCATGGGCATTCCGATCGGCTGGAACATAAAAAGGGACGAGCCCAAGGAGAAAGACGTGCTGCGGGCAGACGTAACCGGCCAGCGCTCACCCATTCGCCGCCGCGTCAGACCGAACAGATCACCGACATCTCAAAGTCCATTCGACACGGATTTTCTGATCTCCACAACACGCTTTGCGCCGCACCTCGAGCCCATCTCTCGTCCTTCACATGCTCGCACGCGCCTCGCCCCGCCACCTGTCCCTGAAGTTTCGAGGACCTACTATCGCAGCAACGAGGCTTCGAGAACTCTGCCCACTCTGCAGCGAGATGAGAGCAGCTTGCGCCGCTCGCGCACTCGCCTCGAGGCACATATGCGCGCCTTTGAGGCCCGCGCATCCAGGGACAACGACCGCACACTCCCACCCTTGACACCCGGGTTTGCGCCAGCTGTGGCTTCGCGCAGCACCGAACCAGAGACAATGCGCGATGCGCGAGAGTTTCCACGCATCGGTGAGAGGTCGCTGTACCGTCGCGCTGGAGGTCCGCGATTGACGCGCTCGCGAAGCCCGGGCGCTGACGCAACTGAAGCGAGGGGCGATAACGCCGAGGACTTCGAGGATGGCCATGAGAGCAGCGACAACAACGCTGTCAGCTTCCCGCCACTTCGTAGAATGGGTCGCCGCACCATCGCTGATGGACCTCTGCCGTCGAGCTCTCTGCGCGAGACCTGGAGCCCTGTCTCAACTCTCGATGGCTTGGGTGACCGCGAGCGCAGCCTCAGCCCCTTCAATGATCATTTGCCGTGGGACACCTTCCTCACCACCATCTTGCCCGACCCTGTCGGTCCTACTGCCGAGTCGTCATTTGCATCTGCTGCGGCCGCAGCCTCGTTCTCGAACTCGCATCCAAGCTCGCGCGCCGGAAGCTCCAACTCGGCAGCATCCTCGCAGACGCATATCACAGTGCCATCACGCCATCACTCTCCGCAGCAGAATGACCAGTTCATGCGCGCGTGCGACACTTCCGAGGACGATACCGCTTCTGACACTGAGGAAGAGGACATTGATGTGCGTGGCAGTATCCGTCGTCTCAACGGTGCCGAAGCCTCTCGGAATCGATTGGTTCTCTCGGACTCGGCCCCGTCTCGCCGTAGAATGCGACCTTCGTATTTCTCGAACGAGCCTCCTCTACGAGACACTGAGCGCTACTCGCGGCGGGTGCTGGAGCGCTCCCGGGATGCGAGCGCATATGTTCGCAGCTTCTACAATTCAAACACTTCACGCGACATCGAGGTGCAGACCGATGGGCCTCGAATTGATCAGCTCGATGGCCCTGCCGAGCCTTCGTCCGCTACTGGCGACGAGGAGAATCCGCCGTTGGCGCCACTTGATTCCTCGCCTCTGGATCAAGAACTTCGCGACGCACGGTCACTGCTTGAGCGTCTTTCGAGGAGAGAGGACATCAGTGACGACTTTTGGGCTTCAGTTGGCTTGACGCGATCCTTTGCCGATCCTGTTGAGCGCTTCCAAGAGCGAGAGCGATTATGATTTTCGCTGCTTGTGTCAAACCTGAGCTCTTCTACTAGAAGCGCAAGGCTGGCTGGCTGGCCTTGCGTCTTGTTTTGATTTTGATTCTTGTCCGCTTGGTTCGGTCTCGTATTGTACGACTACGCTACTTGGCGTCTTTCTACTTTGGACTTTAACGATTTTGAAAGGCAGTCTTTGCCTATAATGCTCTGTTTACGAAAAACCATGTGGCAAGTCATGGAAACATTTCTTGGGATTTGGAGGATTGCTAGGATATGGATCTTATACGAAGGATCGAAGTATTCCATTGACATGATATGGTTGGGCGGTATCGTGTATCTTTATGCTAGCTCCAGTCGCTATAGGGAAGAACTCGAATCAAAAAGCATTCAGCACGTCTATGAGCGTGCCATTCTTCATAACATCTATTCCACGTGAGCCTTTTGACTTGACGTTCCCCACATTGTTTGAAAGCCAAAGACCCGTTGTGCCCCTCAACGCCCACACCACGCCTCCTCCCACCAACATTCCACCAACCCCAGCACCCAGACTCCCAACAAACCAAAAAAGGAACCCGATGCTCTTTCCCAGAAGCAAAAAGCATCTCGGGCGGGGCTCGAACCCGCAGCCTTTGGATACCGAAATCAATCAAGCGGTAGAAGTCCAACGCGCTACCATTGCGCCACCGAGACCGTCGAGCGGAAATCAAGACTTCTGAGCGTTTTTTCAAATTGCAGTGTTTATATTGTGGGGATTGTGCAGTCCGTTAGTGGTTCTGGGTCTTGGAACGAGCTAGGTGTTTGGCATCGGGGGAGTGGTGGTTGGTGTGACTGGACGGGGTGTGACGTGTTAGTGGGGGGCTGAGTGCAAAGTGGGTTTGCCTTGAACCGAAGCCGGGCCTTCCCGAGTCTTATGCTTGAGAGGCAGCGTACCTGGCTATCATTGATCCGGGAGATGGTGAGATGAGAGACTAGTGCATCTTGTTTTCTATGTTTGCTGAAGATGCTCAAGCTTTGGCCCCGTTGAAGTGGATTTCTTGAAGTATAGTCCATGCCTGCCTTCTTAACTTGTACAAACTCCAAAGTTTGAGCGACTTAAAGTCCCAGAGCGCGTGCGTAACTGAGTGATCAACAAAATAGAGCTTGAATTCGCCTGATATATGTTCTTGAACAGTGCGGAATTTGAATGCCAGGTCAATAGCCGCTGAAAGATTGAGCGTCGTACATTCATACGCCGTCGACTGTTGTATTTTTTTGCTTGCAGCAGCGTCTTACCGCTCTCGCAGGGGGAGCTGTAGAGCTTTGTACGAAAAGGCTGGCATGTCATTGTCTTTTCAGCCTTTCTCGATCTCAGTGACCATGTCCAGTATAGCTTGGTCACTCACGCCTGGTATCGACCCATCTTCCGCCTTCGCCCTGTCCAGTACCTTTTGAAGCTGCAGGCGATTTGCGTCCCAGCTGACCCACGCTGCGACCTGTAGGAGACAGTCCGTAACATCATCGAGCTTCTTAAGTTCTGAGTCCCCTAATTCTTTTGCTCCAACACTCTCTGTAAGTTCTGCTTTGCTAGATTTGCTCGCTTTCTTCTGTCGGGCAGGTTTTGATGGCGAACAAAGAGCTTGGCGGGTAGACTCTGCCCTGGAGCTCATTTGGAAAGAGATTGTGGGTGCTGTGCCGGGTGTTGATGGTATCGTGGATAGGGATCTCGAAGATAGCCAGGAGCGTAGAATAGAAATCTTAGCTTTCTTCTCTGCCTTGCTTCGACTCATCTTCTTCTGGAGTGCAGCCTCGACTTCCTCTTCTACAGCTTCTGTGCCTTCCTTGCATGAAAGTGATGCCTTCTCTACTGTCTTTGCCTCTTTCTCTGCAAGCGCCCGCTCGTTCTGCGCAAGCCAATACTGTCCCACCCGTTTTGGATCGACTCCGAAAACTTCATAGTCTCTCTTCCCAAGCATCTCCCTTGCGCTTCGAAGTGCGACTTGCCACTCATAGCGCAAAGTCCCTAGAATAGCCCAAAGCATACCCTCTAATGTATTCACACGAACAGTCCACTGCTGAATAGCACTGCCGCCACCAGAACGCCATCTCTGCTTTTCTATCAAGATAATGTCTGGTCCTCCCGCCAGGATCATGTCTTTGACCAAGGAGTATGCAGTCCTCGACAGCACAGATAGTGAGTAAGGATCCACGTCTTCATCTGCATCTGCCGTTCCCTTCTTGATATTTCGAGGGCTCGGCAAATGATGTCGGAACTGGCGCGACTTCTCGACAAGATCAATTTTCTCCCATCTGACGACTTCCATCGTAGCGTTAAGATTGTTTTTTGATGGGTAGTCCACTATCACATCACAGAAAGCAAGATTCTTTATGCCCATATCGATACTCATGATCCTGATCTTTCGACCCCAGTCATTGCTTTCCATGGCGTCCCAGCCAGGGCGGTCCTGGAAACGGCGAGTTTTGCGAACATCGCGTATGAAGCGGTCGTGAAGAGTAGCCTTAGTTCCTGACGATGCTGAGCCAATGCGTGTGAGTAGTGCTTGTAAAGCTTTCGTTGTTACAGTGCGAGGTTTTGGCGCCATCTCAGTATCAAACCTCACGTGGTCCAACCCCTTAAGATAGTGACAATAATCGTCTTCGAAGACACAGATGTGAGTTGAAGGAAGGCGAGAAATGCAAAAGTGTAGATGACACAAGCATTGGCACACAATGCGTCGAACCATACGCACAACAATTAGTCGCGCATTGAAATCGACACTGAAACCATCAACATGCTAGGGAAAGACAATAATTGGACTGAAGATCTTTACGATCGTTTTACCGTTGTTGTGAAGATTGTTGACGCATTTAAGATTGATGGTCGAGCGCACGGTTGATGCAATACACGTGATGCGGTTGTTGCACTCTTCATGTCGTGTTCAGGCGCTAATGTGCTCTCTTTCGTACGCAGATCAATCTTGAAATCAATACAACATGTGATATCATTGGTGATTCAAATCAGATTTATACACTGGCATTCATGGACCACAGGAAATCTTTTAGCACATTGACTTGATTCCAACAAAGCCGCCCTCGCCCAGCGATAATCCTCATACGCCCTGACGGCCTTCGCTGATGGCCCAGGCTATCGAAGGACCAAAGCAGAACGAACAATAAAGAGCCTCTTGGCTCGCTGTTGTATTTGGCTGTAGTCTCACTTCTGAATCCGACCCGGCTTTTCTCTTCTGACCTTCCTGAGGTCATTTTAGTTCCCGTTTACGAATGTATTTAGACTGAAAAGACACCAAAAAGCCTTATGTGGCAGCCTATCCCTCGCAGATGAGGTCGAAGTCAGGAAATTGTGGATCCGGCCCAATGTTCGTACTCGCAATTGCACTCTGAAAGTCCTTGACCTGCGCATTCAGTTGCGCACTGTTGCACTGCGCTATAGTCCTGCGTCAGCAAATGTCTGCTAAAGATGTAGCTACCCTGACATAAAAAGTACTAGAGGGGATGAAAGAAGAGAACGTACACTTTTGTTCATCGCATTGCTGCACAGTCAATCCACCGCTCTGTCTCTTAGCTTTGCCTTTCTTCCGTCTGTTGCTCTCTCCATTCCCATTTCCGTTTCCGTTTCTATCTCCTCTATTGTTATTGTTGTTATTGTTATTATTATTGTTGTTGTTGTTATTATTGTTATTGTTATTGTTGTTATTATTATTGTTATTGTTATTCCCATTGCCATTTGCATTCGCAGTGTTGGCGCATATCTGGAACTGATTATCACAGCTTCTCTGTGCTGCGCTCTGGAAATCAGTAAACGTGTCCCCGTCCACGTTGAACGGTCTTTCAGAATTCCCGCTGTTGGTGATGGCGCTTGCTTGTGCGCCTCCCAGTGCGCCGTTGAATGACTGGAGGTTGGTGAGTTGTCGAAGGAAGAGGGTATGGCGAGGCATTAGCGACATCTCCCAGTCTGTCGAAATGAGCGCAGGCTGTGGTGAGGCATATGATAATGCTGGCAAGACGAGGTGCAGCAGCGAGAGCAGGGCGGGTGGGAGGAACTTCATTGCGGCCGATTATGTTTGGTGATTACGGTTCGTGGGTGTAAAGGTGAGGAGCGCACAGCGCTTGTCGTCAGGCCGTCAAGTAGTCGTAGAAAGTGTGATCGTGGGTGTAATGGTGAGTAGCGACGGGCGCATATGTAAGCTCGCACTTAGAAGCGCTCGGAGTTGCGCATCACCGCGCCTACAGCCCATCTCATGCGAGAGAAGTTTGGCGCTGGGCTGGCGTTGCCTGATTGGGAAGTGTGGTGGTGATGTTGCGACAATACTGAAACGCCAGGCACCAGTCTGCCCCCTGGCAATTTTCTCCTCTTGACCTTGTGTAAGAACCAAGATCTACTCGCATGAAGCACATTAAAATGGACCAGGGCATGATATGCATGAAGACAGTGACGTCGGTGGTACTGAATGAAGAGTTGATCATTGTGACAGTCTGTTGATTTGTTTCGGGGTATGCTATGCTAATTTGACAGTGTCGCTCAATTACAACTTGTAAACAGGCAATGAGGCAATTGCAACACCGCTGAGATGACAGGAGAATGACAGGACGGAAGATCTGGAATCTCCCAATATTGATACCACCTATGCTTGCGTGGTGCATCTAAAGAAAAGCGCCACACTGGGTTAGAGAGCCTGGAGGGCGCATAACGCCACAGGTATATAATGATGAAATAAAATAAACAAACATGGATCCACGCCTGCAATGCACCGTAAAGTCAAATCGTGTCAAGGGGACCGACCACCTTGAGTCAATGTGTTGGACATGTACGCGCTCAGGATAGTCCCGCACCTTGAACCTCTTCAAATAAGTCCGCAAAAATCGTTGACGTCGTGAACCGACCTATGCAGGTCGCATATGTACGCATCCTGCTACGGTCTGCTTAGAAGTTGGCAGCGGCGTTGGGGCGTCCACCGGGGTTGTGGTACTGTTCGAGGTTCGACTGGAAAGGTGAGGTGCCGTTGACATTTTGCGGCTTGTCTCCTAGGGCAGAGCCAGTGCCGAGAGTCATATCGTCGTCATCAGCCGAAACGTTGTTCTGGCGCTTCTTCATTCGCCAAAAGACGAGGGCGATGCCGCCAAGCAGAAGGGCACCTCCAACGCCGCCGACAACGCCACCGATAATGTTCTTGTTGGTCTGGCTCAAGCCGCTTCCACTGTCACCCGAGTTCTGCTGTGACGTAGGGGGGTCTGTGGTGACCGTCTGGCCGGTAGTGAGGGCGATGCTGCTAGTACCCGTGGAGGTGGTGGTGATTTCTTGCCCATTACTCACGGTTGTGAGGACGGTGACGAATTCCTGGAGCGAAGTGGATACAAGATGAGAGGTCCGCACGATGGGTGTTGATCTTGGTGCCGAGGATGCTCCATTGCTGGTCGCTGGGGGTGCGCTCGTACGTGGCGACGAGGCACCGTTGTTGCCTCCGCTCGATGGTGCTGGTGTAGACTGCGCAGGAGTGTCGGATGTTGGCGGGTCTGGAGTTGGGTCTTGGGTCGGTGTGGGCGCAGGCGTCGATGCTGGTGGTGCGGACGTTGGTTGTCGGGATGAGGCGGGAGGAGCCGTCGAGGGTGTATTGCCAGTACCACTCGCCTGTCGCTTCTCGCCGTGGTGGAGGTAGTCTTCGATGCCGTCGATGTGTAGGTCCTCGAGGCGGAAT